TACTTGCCGGATGGTTTTGAGAGTAGAACAAAGTAGAATGTCTGCTTTGAGCTCCACAGAGCATGAATCATGTCCATATTTTTTTTTTTACTGAGGTCCAATTGGAATATTAGATTTTTAAGTTCTAGTACTCCATTGTTTCGTGCTTGCAGTAAGAGTTTAGCACACAAATATTTTTGGAAAAAAACCAAAACTTTTAAAAAGCATAGACTACCAAAATTCTCTTGGGATGATAAGACTTGCTATTATTTCACAGTTTTGTGACTAGGAAAACAATCTGATTTAAACTTCTTTTAAATATTATATCAGCTCTCCCCATCAGATACCCACCAAATGCATTGAATTATGACCCTTGTAATTCACAGACATCAAATTGGAGAAGCCTATTTTACTTAGATCTGGGTTAAAAGTATGTTTGTTCTAGAACAACAGCTTAGTAGGAAATCTAAAATGGAACACAAAATGGAAGAAAAATGCTACCATCACTACTCCACTATGGAAAACAGTGATTTGTCCAGCAATGGGCTCTGACAGTCACACTATGCAACAAAATATGAAAAAGCATGTTAATTGCTGGTAATTAGAATGATCTATATTCAGAGGTGGGATTCAGCTGGTTTGCACTGGTTCAGGCGAACTGGTTGTTAACTTTTTGTGAAGTTCGGAGAACTGGATAATCCTACCACTGGCTGGCCCCTCCCATCCCAGGAGTCCCAGCCATTCACGCCTGTGGCATAGCTGCTGCTGCTCTCTAGCTCACTTACCTCAACCACATAGCCCCACAGCCCAGCTCCTTGCCTGCCTGGTGTGCCTTCCTTCGCCGATCTCTGCTGCATCCCACACAGCCCAGCTCCCTGCCCTCTGAGCTTTTGCGCAACAGCATTCTGCCTTCATCACGGTATATTTGCGCTCAAGGCAGCCCTTGCCTTCCACCACTTTGGGCTCGGAGCTGTAACTTTAAACTGTGCCCGGAAAGCACTGCGACTGAGACAAGTAGCCAGGGCTGATTCTCCAGTGCCTCATGTCTTGCTGGGTCTCACTGCCTGACAGTCAGGGTTTTTAAAAATATTTTTGGAGCAGGAAATGGGCAGCTACTTCTGGCCTTTGTTGGTGCAGCTGGCCACGATTCAGTCACTTGGGGAGTGACCTGCTCTCCACCCCAAGACACTGGCAGCCACCACTGCTGACACAGATCTGAAACAGATTATCTGGATCCCTTTCAGTCTGTTTTCAGGCCTGGTTACAGCACCGAAACTGCTTTGGTCGCGCTGATTGATGATCTCTAGCGGGCCAGGGATAGAGGACATTCCTCTATCCTAGTGCTTCTTGACCTCTCAGCGGCCTTCGATACCATCGACCATGGTATCCTTCTGCGATGGTTGCGGTGGGAGTGGGAGGCACCATCTTAAGGTGGTTCTCCTCCTACCTCTCGGACAGGTCGCAGTCGGTGTTGGTTGGGGGGCAGAGATCGACCCCTAGGCCCCTCAAATATGGGGTGCCACAGGGTTCGGTCCTGTCCCCCCTCCTATTTAATATCTACATGAAGCTGCTGGGTGAGATCATATGCTGGCACGGGATCAAATATCACCAATATGTGGACAATACTCAATTGTATCTGTCCGCCCCATGCCAACTCAGCGAAGCGGTGGAAGTGATGTGCCAGTGCCTGGAGGCTGTCAGGGTCTGGATGGGAGCAAACAAGCTTGCACTCAATCCAGACAAGACCGAGTGGCTATTGATGTTGCCTCCCAAAGATAGTCCAGAAATTCCATCTCTGAGCCTGGGGGGTGAAATTATACACCCCTCAGAGAGGGCCCGCAATTTGGGTGTCCTCCTGGACCCGCAGCTGACGTTAGAACACCATTTGTCAGCTGTGACCAGGGAGGCTTTTGCCCAGGTTCGCCTGGTGCACCAGTTGCGGCCCTATCTGGACCGGGAGGCACTTCAAATGGTCACTCATGCCCTCGTCACCTCAAGACTGGATTACTGTAACACGCTCTACATGGGGCCGCCCCTGAAGAGTGTTCGAAGACTGCAGCTGGTCCAGAATGCAGCCGCGCGAGCGATAATGGGTGTACCTAGGTACACCCATGTCACACCTATCCTCCGCGAGCTGCACTGGCTCCCCATTGGTCTCCGGACGTGCTTCAAGGTGCTAGTCGTTACTTTTAAAGCCTAACATGGTTTAGGACCTGGCTACCTGAGAGACCGCCTCCTGCCACATACCTCCCAACGGCCAACAAGATCACACAGGTTGGGCCTCCTCCGAGTGCTGTCGACCGGACAATGCCGGCTGGCGGCCCCTCGGGGGAGGGCCTTCTGTTGCTGCGCCAGCCCTGTGGAACGAACTACCCGTAGAAATCCGGACCCTTACCACTCTCCCGGCCTTTTGTAAAGCCATTAAGACCTGGCTGTTCCGGCAGGCCTGGGGCTGTTGATTATATCCAGCCCCACTGGACTGGTTGTATGGTGTGTCAATTTTAATACTGTATTTCTTATTTTATAATTTTTAATTAAGCTTTTTTATCTTGCTTGTGAGCTGCCCAGAGTCCCAATAGGAGTGGGCGGCATACAAATTTCATTAAACTCAAACTCAAACTTCCCCATTGTCTGCCCACTGGCAAACAATGGATGCTACAGAGATAGGGTGATTTCCTATGTACCAATACGAGCCCCTTCCCCTCCTTGGGCTGACAAAATAAAAGCCCATCTAAAGATCATGCCTACCTGTGGAGCCTGCCTGGTGCATGCTGGTAAAAGGAGGCTGGGGAGAAAAAAGAAAAGGGCCGACAGAGATCCTCCATTTTCTGCTCCCATTGGGCTATCTGCTCTGTGCTGGATCAGGATGGGTAGGTGGGAAAAAGCAAAAAGCTCTTCTACGAAGCCTGGCTTGGTGACTGTTCATTTTGGGAGGTTGCATGCATGGGGCGCTGGGGGAACCTGTGCTTGGAGTGGGAGGAGAATGTGGGCTGAATGGGTGGGGAAGGAGTACCGGAACAGGCAGGGAACAACTTGGCTTCCATTGCTCATGCAGGAACCTGGGAGCTTAGCGGTAGCATGCTTTCCACTTCTAGCAACCCAGGCTGGAAAACGCATGGCTGGGGTGGAATGGTCCTCCTTAACAAGGCCACTGGTGGCCCTGGGGTCTGGACAATCAGCTGTAGCCAAAGCTGGGCTTGGTGGAAGAGCAGCAATAGTTTGGAGTTTGAAATCTGGCAGGAGAAACCCGGGCACAGAGGTGGACTGATCTCCCCCACTCCCCTTCTTTGAGGAAGGGCCATCAACATGGGCAATGCAGGAAGCATGGACTCTCAGCAGATAGACCTCAGGGTGCACAATCTACCCCTCAGGCTCCCAATGCCCAAACCGAGCAAGGTGGAAGAGAGATTCACTGTCGTGCTGGTGAGTGTGGGCTGAGTAGGCTTTTTGCTTCTCACCCCACTTCCCCATCCAGATCCAGTACAGCGCAGACAACCCAATGGAGGCGGAAAATGGGGGGGTTTCTGTTTTCCCTTTAGTTCCCCACCCAGCCTCCTTTTGCCAGCATGTGCTAGGCAGGCTTGGCAGGCAATCACGATCTTTAGATGTGCTTTTATTTTATCAGCCCAAGGGGAGAGGGAAAGAGGCTCAGAACTGTACATTAAAAATTGCCCTGTCTCTGCAGCATTTATTGTTTGCAGGCAGGTAGGCAATAAGGCGGTGGCAGTGGGCCTTGCGTAAATGATGTTGTTAACCACACTCATTCAGTCACATGACATCCCCCCTAGCCACATACCCCCAGCCGGTCATTAGGAAGAACCGTTTGTTAAACTATATGAATCCCACCACTGTCTTTATTCAATGAGGTGTTGGGCAAAAGCCTGGCATAAAGCAGTCCATATACGATTGTTCATATTTCCCTTTTATGAAAAATAGCCCTTTCCAATACTCTGACTGATTTGCAGCTTGTTTCCCACATGGATGTTTTACTTCTTGTATGGAGCTCTTTTTTACTTCAAGGTACTTATAGCAGGCATATATACAGTCACTTGTTTTATTGGAAATAGATAGTATCAACTATCTCTAGGAGTCTCAAATGCATTAAAAGCAGACATGCAATTTAGAAAGTGATATATATAGTCCTTGACCTACAACCATTTTTAGTGACCATTCAGCAGCACTGAAAAAAGAAACATACGATCGTTTTTCACACTTACGATAATTGCAGCATCTTCATAGTCACATGACCAAAATTCAGGCACGTGGCAACTGGCATTTATTTAGGACAATTGCACTGTCTCAGGGTCATGTGTTCACTTGTAACCTTCCCAGCTGGCTTCTAACAAGCAAAGTCAATGGAGGAAGCCAGGTTTGCTTAACGACCATGATTCACTTAACAGCTTAAGTGATTCACTTCACAATTATGGCAAAAAGTCATAAAAGGGGCAAAACTCACTTAAATTCTGCCTTGCTTAGCAACAGACATTGGGCTCGATTGTGTTTGTAAATCGAGGACTACCTGTAAAAAGCTGTTACTAATTTTGAATTTCTACACTTTCTCATGATAAAAGGTAAGTAAAGTAACTGGAATATACTCCTTACATTATGTATGTTTACTCAGAAATAAGAACCATTACAAAAGTAAGTGTACTTTGTGTTGTAGCTTTGGAGATATACTTTGATATGCTACATTTGATCACAAATGGGCAGATGTCCTTATATCCTTTCCCCAACTTATTCTACTTTTTCACATTTTATCTGTCATTAATAAAAGTTGCATTGATACAAGTTGTGGGGAAAATATTTTTGTACTTATTAAATATGTACATACCAAATAAAAATACTACTATTAAATACTATTAGGTCAACTCCTGTGTTACCTGAATTTCTGTTTGTAAGTGGCTGTTATATTAATCATAGAGGCATGAGCAGTTTCTAACCTTTTGATTTCCTGTTCCCTTTCTGAAGAAATTAGTGTAGCAAATACAATTGAGAGAGAAACAAATCCTAAGCACTGAAGGTACAAGTAAGAAACACAGAATATTATGTTTTATTGAAAACAATGAGTGACATAGATAAATCTTTTACTAACCCTTCTATATGATTTTAAAAATCAAGTGGGGAAAAAGGAGTAAAATAGGAGTAAATAGTTTTAAACAATTTGACAATATGCATAATTCATCACATTCAGTTTACAGAACCCTTTACGTATTACAAATACATATACAAAATGACTATACATATTGAATGTTAGAATTAAAAGAAGAAATATTAGTTTAGATTCAATATTAAAAGAAAAGCAGTCACTTCATATTAGGGCTGGGAGGCTTTGATACTATAAAGAGAGTGTTTTCTATTATGATATTAGCCTTTTCTCAATCGTGCCTTTCCAAATGTATAAACATTTTTTTCATCACCATGTTGTATTCAAGTCATTCAAGTCGTTCAAGTTATGAACATCAGCAACAGAAAAATTGCTTTAACTGCTTAATGAAAAGTCTATCAGATTTTCATTGGGGTAGAATAGCTACACCCAACTGATAACTTTCTAAATGTGTTGGGACTACAATCAGTTTCAACACATGTGGAAGCATCCAAATTGAGAAAGATTTGGGTCACATTCCGGGCATTATTTGGGGTGTTTCAAGAAGGAACTACTTTCCTTTTACATTCAGAGTGGAAATTCGGTATCCTTCAGACATTTCAGGACTACAGCTCTCAATCCTCTGATCACTAACCACCTGATTGGAGTTAATGAGAAGCGGGATCTTGCAACATTTGCAGGATCCTGAGTTCTCCAGTCTACCAAATTACTATTCTAGAATCTACTTCATGTGTTACAGAAAAAAATTAGAGGAAAAGGAGACAAGAATAATGCTTGCCATATATAGTCAATTGTGACTGCCACCCATGGAAAACTCAGAGGTTTGTATCTCAAAATAAATTTCTAACATTTTCTGTAAGGGAAAAAAAACAATGGTATAGAAAGTTTTTTTAAAAAAAATCTTGATTTCCTAATTTTCAATGTGATCCCAGCTGTGAAATGATTGTGCTCAGTCAGCCTCTTCTATCTCAAAAATCATGCAATAATCTTATTCAGGCCACTTAAAACAGACAATTCATAATAAAAGTGACTGTGGAAATGAACGAGCTCAACAGGAGAATAAACCATGCTAAATTAATGCTCTGAGGCCAGAGAGTATATGTAAAATAAATGTAGTCCAATTTAGTATTACAATGAACATTTGAAGCTATGAATGGAATTTTTTATTCAAATCCTGCCAGTCAATCTATTAGCAAACTGAATAACTTTCAGCTGGTCATTGTCCTCAGCTAATGTTATTAAAAGGATAAATTGGAGAGGAACCACTCTGCCACTCTGCTTTTCAAAGAATAGACAGAAAGAGTGTAAAGAAGAGCAACAAAGATGATAAGGAGTTTGGAAACTAAAGTGTGATAAATGGCTAAGGGAATAAGGCATGATTTGGCCTAGTGAATGATAGCAATCTTCCAATACTTCAAGGGCTGTCATGGGGAAGAGGGCTTCAATTTATTATTCATAACACCTGGGAGCAGAGCACAAAGGAATGAGTAGGAGCTCCTCAGAGGAAGTTCCAATTTGGGATTAAGGAATTTTCTGACAGTGAAAATGATTAATCAATGGAATAGCTTGCCTCCTGGAGTTGTGAGAGCTCCATTGCTGGAGATTTTTTTAAAAAATTGAACAACCATTTGTCTGGGATGGCATAAGGAGATCTGTCTAAGGCAGGAGGCTGGACTAGAAGACCTCCAAGATCCCTTCCACCCTTTCATTCTATTATTCTAAGATAAGGTATTAATTTTAGCTTAATAATAATCAAGACAACTAGTATTCACACACGATTAATTTCATATACGTTAGATCAGCTTCCCCCAATCAAATGTCTTCCAGAAGTAGTAGACTACCCATATTGGTCACAAATGATAGGTGCAGTAATTCCATAGATGTAAATTGAGAGGATAGCTTTACATAATTTGTTAATCAGACTATTACTTATTTAACCAACATGATTTTTGTCATTTTTCTTATTCCCATTCTAAACAGTCATAACTAACAAGTGGGCCTCCTGCTAAATGGATTTCCAAAGGCAAATCAAATAATAGTTGGAACAGAAACAAAAAAAGGCACCAAAATAAAAACAGCTAAAATAGTAATGTTTTGTAGTAATGAGCATTTGCAGAGTAATGGGAACCACAAGTATATTCACTTTGGATATAATCATCTTAAGTTATCTGCACTAGCCTTCTCAAGTGGGTAGAATTAAAATGTGTGAAGACCACGCATTCCAGATTTTTACTGATCTGTCACTCTCCAGGTTGTTAAAGGCTGGTGTATGTCAATTCTGTGTCTTAAGTACTGGACTGCTGGGTAGTGTAAACACAAAGCACACATGCCATTGTTAGTTCAGTGAAAAAGCTGTACACTCCCATATCAGAAACTTGCTGGAACTCTTTGGCTCTTTCTAATTTAATCCCACAAATGGACAAACAATATGCTGAGGAAATAAAAATTCTACACCAATCTCAATTGATCTTAACAGTTTTGACACAGAGTATGACAGCAGATTACTTGTTAAATGCCACCAGAAAGAACTTCTGGGCAGCTGACCAATCTGAGTGATGGGTTGCAGTCTTATAACATATTATGTAAAAACTTCCACACAGCTATGCTTCATCTTCATGTATGTGCCTATATTATCACCTTAATATTCAGCTAGGATAAGAGCAGCTTTGAAGCTGCATATATAAATCCACAGGATTATGCATTGTTTAAAAATATGTGATGTTAAGCATCACAGCTAGATCAAAAAAGCTTTGATTTGTTCCCTTAAATTCTTAGCTTAGGTAGAGAAAATGGAGAAAGCTGAATTAGAGAAGGGATAAATATTGGATGGCAAATTTTTGCTTTAACAGCAACCTTATCACTTAGGACTACAATTCCCGTCATATCCTGATAGAGCGGGAGTCCTTAGAAAATGTACTTCCATACGCTTACTGGATTGGCAAGCCAATTTTTTTTTTTTTTAAAGAGGCCACAGTCACTTTAAAAGCGCATTTGAAAAATCTTCATTTCTTCAAATTACTTTTAAGAATAAATTATTTTTTAAATCTAAGTTTTAAAAATCTTAATGCCACTTCCCACTAATTAAATGATACCAAAGTACTTTTCATTAAATGGCAATCTATGCCATACAAGATGTGCAAATCTGACTCAAAAAAAATCTGAATGCAGGGTCTTGAAGCTTACTATACTTTAGGAAACAGTTTCTAGGTGAAATTGATATGATGTGCTCAATTTATAGGTCTCCAGAAATCAACAAGTAAAGCTCTCCTTGATGCTATTACTGCATCTGGCACTGATAGGATCTTTAGTCCAATAAGCTTTTAGAGTATTGTAGTACCTTATTTTTGCCCTAATTGCATCTTCCCCTTGAATCATTGGGAAGTCTAGACGATCCCTTTGAAAAGGAAGCATTAGAAAAGAACATCAAATGTTTCAAATAGGGCAAGAGGATTAGGAAGTTTGAGGAGTGTGTTAGTTCTGCACAGTATATTTGAAAGCCAACTAAATTGTAGCCACTAAAAACAACTGGTATTCTAGGAGCTGTATAATACATAATTAAGAGAAATCCAAAGACACACATATTTCTGCAATTTCTTCATGGAGTAGGCAAGCCAATGACATTACTTTGGACTCATGAGTGAGTATGAAAAGGCAAGAAATGTGACAATGGCAAAGCATACTTTATATATGCTCTGGATGGCTTTGGAGGCAGGAGATCATTTCTTGGACAGGCTTTCCTTCATAGCAGATTTTATAAACAGCAGTAAATAGTGGAAACCTAAAAAATAAGACAAGCAATCATCTTACTAGGGGAGTCAATCAAGTTATTGGTGTTCAACTTTTTTAATGTTCTGATGACCAAAGTAAATCTGAGATACCATTTATTTATTTATTTGATTTGTATCTCCTTTTTCTGTTGACACAAACAGATTTATACATATTTAAATGGACTGGCCCCTAAATTAACAAAGTACAGTGCATAAAAAAAGTAACACACACCCCCCCCCAATTTCACTGTGGGAAAAGATTACTCGATAAGTTTACAATGTATTCATTGAGTGCCAATATGTTGGGAATGGGGAGAACCAGATTCTGGTGCTCCCTTCAGCACGGAAGCCAGATGAATGTTAGGATAAACACTTTTTGAATTTTTGAATTTTCAAGAAATCAGGTATGCAAACATTTTTAAGCATGCACACAATTTTAAAGATACTACCCCGTTTCCCCAAAAATAAGACCTCCCCAGATAATAAACCCAATCAGGCATTTGAGTGCATGCACTGAAATAACCCCTCCCCCACAAATAACCCCCCCCAAATAGCAGCAGCCATGAGGTGCCATGCTCACCGCCTCCTGCACCTCAAAAATAATAAGACCTTCCTGAAAATAAGGCCTAGTACTTATTTCGGGGATCAAAAGAAAATAAGGCCCTGTCTTATTTTTGAGGAAACACGATAGATAAAATGGTTTGTTTTTTTGTCAAAACAAGCAGAATGAGACTATTTGTATTTTAATATTATTATTGGGAGATCATTTAAATATATAGCTCAGTAATCATTAGTACCTCAGTCCTAGCAGACTCTCTGAGTAGAAGAGATTCCTTACTTTCTAATACAATCTCAAAAGATCCAAATGTTTTTATAGAAGATTTGGGAGGTATTTGGGGTTGAAAATAGGGGGAAGAAATCAGTAGATTAGTGGCTCACTTACTTTTCCACCAAACCTTTCTGCTGAAGAATGTGATACACTTCTGCAGAAGTCTGTGGTCCTTGAAGTTTCTGCCCATTCAGCATCTCTTGCTCCAGTTCTTTAATACTCTGAATGTTAAAAAAAAGTATTTCTAAGTTTCACTAATATAGATAAGAATGTAAGATGACTAGTACTGCTCATATCAACTGTTTGCTAACAGTTTCAGTTAGAAATCCTACTTCCTAGTTGATTAGTCCTTTACCAATCTACCAAGGCAAAGAATTAGCAAGTCCTACTCTTATTACAATTAACAGCGAATCTGCTATTAACACAGTGAATACACTGGCATTGTGGTTAGGACTTCGCTTAGCTCTACTATTACTCTTAATAAAGTAGTTATTGCCTGAAGCATTTTTAGAAGTTCTGATTCAGGATGGTCACTAACCTTTGGGTGGGATTTATTTTCTTCTTATTTTTGTTTTAACATAATTTAAGAGTCCTCTTAAAATATTTACTAAGAAATTCATCATAAAAATAAAGGACCTGGCCCCTTTTGGCCACTCAGTAATTTCAGTACTTTTTAGAAATAAATTTAAAAAATGTAAGTTTGCAGTTATTGGGTTTATGTTTCTATAATATAAGTTCTAACTAAGTGCAAAAATTTACCTTATTATCCTCTAATACAGTCACAAAATAATCATTCCAAATATGTTACCTTCCTGGGTTGAGAGAAAGTATCCCTGACACTAAAAGTAATATACCTTTCCTGTTTTAACAAATGCTTCAGCCACTCTCCGATTTCGGCCACCATAACAAGTTGTGATTAAATCTGCAACTCCACAGCTCTCCAGGAAAGTAGCAATTGAGACCTGCCCCTTGCAGAAGATTTTGGCAAAAGCTATCATTTCCATTAATCCAAGTCTTATGACAGCTGCTTTGGTATTATCTCCACAGCAAAGGCCATCACAGAAGCCAGCTCCCACTGCCACTATGTTCTATATAAATGACATGGAAAAGAAAAAGAGACTGCAGGATGATGAAAGAACTCATTTACACTTACAAGTTACATGCATGCCACATAAATTTAAACATATATACATCTCAACACACAAACACACAACTGAACCTAAAATTTCTATATCTAAGTTAAGATATTTGTTAAATGAACTTTTTTTTGCCACAGTTGTTAAATGAATCATTGCAATTGTTAAGTTAGTAAAATGGTTGTTAAGAGAATGTGACTTCCCTATTGACTTTGTTTATCAGAAAGTCACAAAAGGTGACTGGGTGCTAACAAGCAAATTTGGAATTTTGAAAATGTGTTACAAGCACAAAATGATATTAATATCATTGATATCTTTCATTAATAGTCTGCTGGGCAAAACCATTCCCTAAAGTAGGGGTGTCAGACTGGCGGCCCATGGGCTGGATGCATCAAGCCCAAGCCACACCCACCCCAAGTCCGTAAAGGCAAAAAAAATCATGATACATCACAAGTTACGTGATGCAATCAAGTTTGACACCTGTGCCATAAAGGAACCCTGTTATGTTTGTTCATATCATCCTCTTTAACTGATGCCCACTCCATTTTTTTTTTCTGAGCAGGCACATTTCTAAATCAAGCTGTCCCTTATGTATGTCCTTATGCATAAATCACTAGCATTACCTAGTAGTAAAGCAGCCAAATTATCTTGAGGAAAGGAAATTCTGATTTCTGAAAGTAAGTTTGATTTGTATGATAATAGTGTAGAGTCTTTAAACAATTACCAATTTCCAGATTAATTTTACATTTTACCAGCACTCTGCTGTGATGGAAATGCATTTAAATAGAGCCACAACCTGCCATAGTTGTCTATCACCTTTATGTAGTGAATTATATCCCAGTGGCCATGTTGGCTGAAATTCTAAGAATGTTAAGTTTCAGTGCCTTGTATCTTGTCTAGAAACCCATTCAGAGATGAAAATATGTGTTGCAATATGAGAACCCATTCAGTGTCATTTAGGATTATAAACCAAGATATAAAAAATCTTAATTCACCATGGTTACAAATCTTGGCTACCTGTCTTAATTCTATGTGAATCTTGCATGAATTCAGTACAATTTCAACTTTATCCATGAAAGGGAAATGCTGCCCCAGTTCTGGTTGCTTACCATTTAACCAACCAACAATTACAATCTAAAACTCCTATTTCAAAATGCTTTTGAAACAAGAAGATGTAAGTGCCTGTGTAGTGAGAGAAATTTTGCATTAATTCAATAAGGCAGTTTTGGCACCAACGTGTTACTGAAGATTGCAGAGGAAGCAAACACTAAAATCAGTTCTAGTAACAAACTCCTCAGCAAGTGTTTCTCTAGTCTTTGGTCGTAGGCAATTTATTATTTAAATGCCAATAAAAATAAAAAAGTACCTTAAGAGCACCACAAATCTCAACTGTATCAGCATCATCCACAACAGTTATTCTGAAGTTTGGGGTCTGTAGAAGTTCTTTGAAAAGGAGGCCATTTTCCGAGATTTTGCACCCTGTTTTTGTTGGGAAGTAGGGAGAGGAAAGGGGGAAAAATGCTAATGTCATTTAGTTATCATCTCAGCATTTCCAAACAAGTAACAAAAGAAAACTTACACAACACAATAAAAAATGAATCTACTGAATCTTTAGCATGCTGTATTTCAAAATCCTTCCTGATTCCAGAGCAATTGTTATTTCATACCAGAATGGTTAAGATAGGATTCTACTGAGAGATGAGAAATGAACCAAGAAATCTCTAGAGGTCTATGGAGATTCTCAATCATCCAGGTCATGGTTATTCCAAAGGTGCTTTTCCAAAAAGTAACTGGACTGGACTTTCTTGGTTTTTCCTTTGAAAATATTTCACTTCTTATCCAAGGGGGTTCAGACGAGTCAGAACTGAAAAGGTTTTTTGGATAACAAATGGAATGTTTTCAAGGAAAAAAACCAAAAAAGTCCAGTTGCCTTTTGGAAAAGCATCTTTGGGGAAAATCTACCACATTTTTTGGAGTATATGACGCACTTTTCCTCCCCCCAAAAATGGGTGGAAATGTCTGTGCATTATACTCTCAATATTGCAGGCAGGTTGGTGTGGCGCCAATCAGCTGTTCTAGAATGGACTGTGGCGGTGGGCGGAGGTGCATGTAAACAGGCGGCAGCAATGTGGGATGGCGAACAGACAGTGGTGAATGGGGGATGGCTAACAGGGGTGGCAAATGGGCAGTGGTGAACATGCTTTGGTGAACGGGCGGTGGTGGTGGTGAACGGGTGGTGGCGAATGGGCAGTGGCGAACAGGCTACTGCAAATAAGTCAGATGAATACTGGATGGCTGCTGGGAGGCAGAGGCAGATTTTTTCCCCTTTGTTTTCCTCCCCAAAAGCTAGGTACATTTTATAGTCAGGAGCGATTTATAATCCAAAAAATACAGTATAGAGATTAGCACCTGATGATTCTTGTATATATGTTCAATTCTATGCTGTCTAGTCATACTTTATTTGTTAGTTGCATCTGATGTAGGTTCTTACTAATAAAGGCCTCTTTATTTTGTATCTGCATATTATGGTGAATAAAATACAATAAAAAACCAATTTACCCTTTGGCTAATATGGAAACAGCCAAGGCATACCTCTAGCATCCTGATGTATCTTATCAAAGAATCATACTACTGACAAAACAGGCAAACTTGAGATACAACGGCAATACATAAGGCATTATTTCTCAGCTATAAGACAAAAAACACATGCAGAATTTGGAAGGCCTTGATATATGTCAAGCAGTATTGCTACTGCTTGTCTGATAGTTAGACTAATTGAACCTCTATACAATTTCTTTTTAAGAAATATTTTGGATTACACTATTCCTCATATAATTCAATCTGATATTCTCTAGATGCCTTGGCCCAACAACTTCTAAGATTTCAATCCTGAAATTGAATATTCTAGAATTGTAGAATTCTAGAATTCGCAAAATACTTGGAGGGCTTCTGCTTGAAGAAATCTGTTTTAAGACACAATCTGGTTTGGTCACTGGGACAGAGATTTACTCTGCCGAGCTTTTGGACTACATGCCCATCTTCAGGGAACTTCTTTCTATTGGAATATGTGTTTTCGGCTATTCTGTGAGTCATATTTATGTGGTGCCTTCCTATTGGTTGATTGGTTGTTGGTGGCTGGTGACTGGCCCTTGACTCCTAAGTACTTGATAAGCTGGTAGTAAATCAGCACTCTTGTTAACCGACAAGGGGCCCTTTTCCAGTCTTCAATTATTTCCGTAGCTTTACAATGTTACTGAAATGAAAAACAAAATGCAACTTTATTGAGAACAAAAGGTTATTGCAGTGGCAGGGAAGAGCAGTGAAAGAGACATCTGCAGCAATAATCATTGGCTTTAAAATGGGAGGCATGATTTGGCAATCAAAACTCTTGATTCTCTTTATACATATATACTGTATGCACTGGTCAATTATAAGAAACAGAGCTTTGATTACCCAGCTGCATTTATCATTTTGAAGCCAATGATTGTTGCTATAGATATTCCTTAACCCACCAAATATTATGAACAGCAACTCTGCTGATATTTTTAAAACCACAGCTCAAAATTTAGGAATTTCTTTTTTTTTAAAGGAGAATAACAGGTGGGTATCCTTTCTTTCCTCACGAAGGAAATGTTTGCTACTTTTTTTTGTTACAGAGGAATGTATGCAATATCATATTATAAATTTCAGCATCACTAGGTTCAATGATACCTACTTACTACTAATCCATGGATAGAATTACAGATCAAATATGAACAAATTCAGGAGATACTGAGGATTGGGAAAAACTGAAATGAGGGCATTTATTGAAAAGCATCATGTTATTTTTTGAAATTTACCTATTGTGGTTTCACAGAATTTCTCTGCAGCTACTTCATTGGCAATGTTTGCTCCCATCAACACACTGATATCTATCCCCATTTTTTCTCGGATTACATCAGAGATGAGTCTGAGTCCTTCAGGGCTTTCATCTATACCCTGCAAGAAACATAGGAAGGCAGAGATTACAGTTGATTTGGATGGTCTTTACAATGGCACTTTCATGCCATACAGAGTTATTTACTCTTTATTGATGCAGTGTCTGCTTACAATCAGACATGTTCAGTTTATGATATATTTTAAGCACAGTCTTTAGAATTTAGATCCTGATTTACATATATTTCTGTCCTGTACTAAATCAACATTTAGCATGTTTTCCTTTCAACATTTTAAAATCACTATTCAAAAACAAGGTGAAGCGTATTGCATTATTTTACTAGAACAGCTGGCAAAAGTATAGCTATTTCTGAGTCTATCTAATTTATCAGTTAGGGCATATATTAAAGTCTAGTGAAAGGCAGCAAAACATAGAAATAAAAAATATTTTCCACATTATTTATTTTAGTTAAAAAATAGAGATTGGAAAACTATAACCAGGTTTTATACTGATCTTTCCCAAAACCCATTAATATGATTTTTAAAATAAATGCAGAGTTGTCACCATGATATAATAAAAACCAGAATCTAAACAAGTCTATTGAATAAGTGAAATAAAGAGGTGTACAATATTCAGGGCATAGAGGATCATTCAGGGTTTCAGAAAGTTATGGCTTTAGAAACTTCAAGGAGCTACTAGTAAACTTTTAGCATAAAAATATTCTTAAATATATGATTGAGAATAATCACACTGACTATATTTAGTGTTAATTAAATTTAATTAACATCTAGATCTTGCTTTGGTGTACCAATAATTTATCACATCTTCCACTTTAGGTTGAATCAAAGGAATCTGATCAGAGGAAATTTGTGCAACCTGCCTTGTACCATTTCCCCCCCCCAAAATAAGACCTCCCCGGAAATAAGCCCTCCCTGAAAATATTGCAACACAATATAATACCTTCCCCAAAATATGGTCACATGCTTATTTCTAGAGTCGAAAGAAAATAAGACCCTGTCTTATTTTCAGGGAAATACGGTAGCAGGTGGGAGCCAATTTTTCCTTTCTGAAGTAGATTCTCATGATTCAAGGGAGACTTGGCAACGCAAAACTATGATTTTTTTTCTTTAGAAATTGTTTAGAATCCAGTGATGAGATTAAAAGGAATTCACATATACTGTACATTGGAGAAGTAGTTGATGATTTTACATGTAGCTCCAAAACTGAAGCCAAATAAAACTTAGATATGTCTTGTCTTGGATCCCTCAGGATGAAATCAGTTAGCTAAGCAACATTAAAGTTGTAAATTCAGCATAAAATGTTTACAGTCCAAGCCCAAAAGGAACAGAGTTCATATCAGTAGCCCTAGTGCATTGGACAATTCATTATCTGAGTAAAAGGAAAGTTAAATGTACAATAAAAATATAGAACATTTCACAGCCAAGCATTTAAGGTTTGGCTGTCAAGGACAGCAATTCCAATAACAAATGACCACACAACAGAATAGGGCTTCTGCTGTTTTTATTGCATTTAGTTATTGTAATTATAGTATGGTTTTTTTAATGTTGTTTTGGTGTGATTGGGAGCTGCCCAGAGATGAATATAAGATGGGTGACTATAGCAATGTTTTAAATAAATAAATTATATACAAGTGGGAATATAACTATAGGAATGTCAGCCTTTTCCTGATCATATGTTGGATTGATCTATTACCAGTGGTGAGTTTCAAATTTTTTTGGAACCTCTTCTGTAGGTGTGGCCTGCTTTCCGGGTCCACTGGTGGAACCTCTTCTAACCGGTTTGGTAGATTTGACAAACCGGTTCTACCAAATTGGTGCGAACCGGTAGGAACCCACCTTGTCTATTACCCTGCCTCTGGCTGCTCCTGAATATATTCTACCTTCCACCTTCCTACTCTTAACATGGAAGGGCTGCCCTTTGGTGCTTCTGTGGGCTGGGTGAATGAGACTTCAACTCATAGTCTGAATCATTATGGCCAAAGGGCATTCCTGAGGCTACTCCTGACATTTCACCACCAAGATTCCCTAGTTTATATTTCTATAGAATTCTTTTATCTGCACCTTTATTGAATTGTTATTTAATAAGTCGCCTAGAATGACTTTAGTTGAGTTGCACTCCATAATTCAGTTAAGAGCAGTTACAGAAATTGAATACATAAGTAAATAATTTAGGGTATTATTTTGTACACAAAAAGAAACATTTGTATCTTATTTGCTGTACCTTAATAAGACTTATACCAACAGCTTGCTTTGTTAAATGTCCAGTAATTGCATCACAGATTTTATAAATGAACTGATGGGGAATGACAAAAACCAACAAGTCTGCATCTTTCACAGCTTCAGTCAGATTTGGGACTGCAACCTGGAAAAAAAATTGGGAAAGAAAAAAGAAGAAGAAATTAAAGAAAAGGAAGACACTGAATATTTTGAGATATGCAATCTATTCTATCAATGATTAAATAAAAGAAACAGAATTTAGAACTTCTAAAATCACAAAAGAACAATTAATTTTACTAATAGGGTTGATTATTGCAATGTATTAATTTTGATTAGTATTAATAATTAATATGTATTAACATTATGAAGGAAAAGAATTATCATTATGAGAGAACATTATTATTATTACTATGATGAATATTACTGAAAAGAATTGTAACTAGACAACATACTATTTACAGGTGATACTCGAAAAATTAGAATATCGTACAAAAGTTCATTTATTTCAGTAATGCAACTTAAAAGTGAAATGTATGAGACAGACTTATTCCATGCAAAGCAAGATAGTTCAAGCCGTGATTTGTCATAATTGTGATGATTATGGCTTACAGCTCATGAAAACCCCAAATCCACAATCTCAG